CGACAAACACATGTGGGGTTAATTGAAGGGCAGAGAGATAAATGGCTCGGTGAGCCTCGCCTTTCTAATTCATGGGTCTCTTGCTTTGTGACGGTTGGACCAAGGTGCAGCAGCCTTAGCCAGTTCCCTGCTTCAGCTGGCAAAGCTCACTTCCTGCAACACATCCCTAAGGAGAAGCCACATGGACCTACCCCGATGCAGCCTGGGTGCTGGAGCGGCCGTGTGGAGACCCCTGCCAGCACTGAGATGCCTACACATTCACTGGATTCAAGGACTATCTACCCACTGGCCTGTGATCCACCTGCATTCGGCGTCATTGTGTGTGTTTTGTGAGTTTGAGGAAGACTTTGTAGATCAGTGTCGTTGGACATATGGGCTAAGTTGGACTGATGGGCTTGGACAGTACTGGGTTGGGATGCTTTCTGAAGGTACACTTGCCCTGTATGTAAAACTGTCTTATACATACCGTATATGAGCTTCTGTGGATTTGCTTCCCTAGTTTACCCAGACTAGCACAACGCCATCCGTGGGTACATGTATCGTGGACAAGCAGTAAAATTCCTGGTTTCTAGGCTTCACGTTTCATAACAGCATAGTTTATTTTAAATCTAAATTAATTTGGCATTTTAAGCAGGTCATTTTGAGACTGTGATCTGACTTGAAACTCTTGAAAGTGAACACTTTTGAATTAAAGATGGCAAGGTGAATTCGATTAGTGCAGGACCAACTCGTTTTAACACTCAAATACTCATACATCCAAGTATCGATTATCATCTATTATGTATAACTTTCCCTGCATGGATATTTTCCACTCATGAATAAACAAATCCTATCCCCATCTCTTTTTGCCTCCTAGTACTGCAGGGAAAATCATTGCCTAAAGTCACATGAATGCCCAAACGGATAACTCTTACAAGGTGTAATTAAAGTCTCTAGAGGGTGATTTGTAGCGTAGCCAGCTGCTATTTAAAAGGCTGGACGTTCAAGTCCATGCACCCAGGGGAACCTTTCAAGAAAGGCCCGGTGATCTGCTTCTGAAATATCAGCCAGAGAAGACGTGCTGCCTCTGACACACCTGGAGACCCAACGCATCCATCTGTTTGACCAGTCTGTTCACAGTGGCTACGAAGTGGGCTGTTCCAAGCCTTCTGGGTGGGAGAAAGACGGGGGTCCGCCTCCTGTGAAGAGTGACTGTGGGAAATAGAAGGATTCCTCTCAAGCTGTCTCCCCCAAACATATGCCAGACTTGGCTGCTTGAGAATGACTGTACACTTGGAGGTCATCAGGAGTGGATTGGGGGGTCATTCTCCCTGAGTTATCAGCTGTCTAGACCAAGCAGACACCACTGTTTATCCCACAACAAGTAGGGCCCACTCCCTTCTGATAAGGATAGTAGTTGTCTGTTTCCTTGTAGGAGACACGGGGAGAGGTCAAACCTGCCCAAGGAGGACCAAGGTTAGGCCGCCATCATGAACCTAGGGTCCGCCCATCTTGTCCCATGTATACCCCTAGACCTTCCCATTCCTATGGGCACACCCTAGCTCATCCCCTTCCTGTTACGCTTATGCCTATCATACATCCCCTTCCTAC